CGCCCTCGACGTGAATGCCTTCCGGATTCTTCTAGAAGTCCTTGCCCCAGCCCCTATATATTGGTCCACCACACTTCTAGTGACAGTGGCCTGCAACTTACCTTACCTTGCACACATTTCCTTCCAGAGGTTGGTTAATCCGCTGGACCATCACGTGATCCAGGAGATTAAGTACTATAAGAAGGATATTGAGGACGGGCCCATGTGGCGGGCCGAAAGGAGTAAGGCCCGTGAGAAGACCAAGATTGGGCTGACTGCAAGGGTGGATGCCAAGATTAGCCAGCTCAAAGGGAGGCTGCAGAAAAAGTATTCTGTAACACATCAACAAACGTGATTTTCTTTTCTTTTTTTTTTTTTTCCTTGTCTNGTGTAGGTCTTTGACGTTTTGATTATATTTGTACATTTTTTTATCCCTTCTTGATGTAATTTTTGGTTAGGGTATAGATTTTGAGTGAGGCGATGTTGTGAAAAGAAAAAAAGGTCCGGCCTGTTGTGTGTAATGTATTTTGTAAGGTGATCATTGAAGAGGACAGGTACATACATGATTTTACCTTGTTCATGCTCACATAGCTCGACTGGAATACTTATCATGTTTGATTGATTACATGATTTGTCCTTTATTCATGTTTGATTACATGATTTGTTGAATAGGTATTTGTGATTAGTTGAATACGTACAACCAAGCAGCAAGGTGGGACTAGCTACAATTAATTAGTATTGATTGTATTTTGATAGTTTAAATGTAATTTTCACTCGAGTATAGTTGCCTGAATATTTTATTATTATTTTCTAAAAGAAAGTAGCTCTATTCTTGCATTTTAATAATCATTGAATGTTCATACAGACAGTATCGGAGCACAGCTGATTTTGTTTTTTTTTTAATTAAATTTTCAACGCAATTCTGAACAAGTACTCATAGTGAATTAATACAATTTTAATATTGAAACTTTCATCCCAGTTTAATCAAACCAGAATTTATACCGTGAATCCAATCGAATCCGCGTAAACAAAGCGAGTCCTAATCCTACATCAAATATTTTCAAATTCATACCATACCCTTTAAGAGATTTGTGTATACATGATTAATAATAATATTGAAAATGATATTGTTCACCTACAATTTTTTTTTTTACACTTACGAAGATTTTTTTAATTATAGATATACTATCTTTCACTGTTTATGAATAATTGATTTGTGGTTTATTTTAAATTTGAATCATATATTGTATTTGTAAGAAATTTGAGTGCAAATAAATGAATGTGAGGCCCCTTCTATGCATCAATCGATTCTCCTTATGTGGAAAAATGATGTTGTTTGCCTTACTGCAACTTTCTCACTTGATGAATACCACTAGCACCCTCATCTCTATATATATGTGTTCAGTTGCAGTTGCCAAACATTAGAAGAAAATATAATAATACGCCAGTAAACATTAGATGTATTTACGTAAATCAATGATTATATAGACAACTAAACCCTTCAGACTTGACTTCTACTTTATTATGGGTGACGTAAAATAAGGATTTAATTTTGACCGATTAAATCTTTATTCATAGGCTTGACATATAAAACTGATTTGATGGGATTTCCTTAACTAAACCGATGCTATGGGATAAAACAAATCTATACTTACCTTTGACTTTTCCAGCAAATGTAAAAAAATCGGTTCTGATTTTTATCCCATAACAAATCTTTAATGTCAAGCCTATAAAGACCAAAACAAATCTGTAATTAATATCATTCTATTTTCAGCAAGCATTAATTACCTTTGACTTTTCTGCCTACTATTTCTAATAAATAGGATGGCTTTTTATATAAGTATAGATTTCATATAATGCAAAGACTGAGATCATAAAAAAGAATCCTAAAAACTGAAACAATATATTTGCATAATTTAAAGCCATTAAGAAATCGATCTCTAAATCAGATTTGATTTTCATAATATGTTTTTTTTTATTTCGATTTCTATACAAAATGGAATTCTTTCCAACCAATAGATGTCATAGCAAATATTAACTCTTAATTATTAGACTATTAGTAAATACCGAGCAAATTGTGTACTGAATTTAGAAAGTTAAAATGACTCATGTTAGGTAATTTTACATTTTATGCATGTTGAACGGTGGGTTTTAAATATTGTTTCATAGAATGTAAAAGTGTATTATATTATTTTTATGAGATGTTGAATTTGAAAATTAATAGAATTCTTCTTCATAGGAATTTAAAATGTAACAATATTCTTTGGTATACACTACTAATAAAATCTATATTTAAAGTTTATATTTTTTTTTTACTGGAAAAACTTCCTTAATTTAAGGAATCATATATTTTCAATCAGTCCACATCTATATACATTCTTCACAATTTTAAATCTTGAATTTGATGAGAATTCGTATCTATGAGTGCAAAGTATGGTTTAACAAATTAATTTTTTATTATTATTCCAGCCATACTTCTTTATACGATTTTTTGTGAAAATACAAAAGTAAATTCTTAATTTTAAATCAGCCGTACATTAAAGAGTACAAATTTGTTGAAATTACAAAAGTAATTTTTTACTTTTAAACAGAGGTAAATTTAAATCAGTCATAAAAAAGTAATATTTGTTTACCATTTAAATATTAAATCAGCCGTAATTAATGTTGTTTGTTTTAGTTTCCACGATTTTCTCCAAACTAAATTAACAACTGCCATGATTTAAGGGCAACATTTAATGCTAATCTATTTTTAGAAGACATTAAATGTATTTGGCGGGAAAAGATTGCTAAAAGAGTTAAATGGTTAATCTTTTAATATAATGATAGATGTGCTCAGTTCTCAACTCTGTTTCAGTTTGACAGAACTCGTAAGTCTGGTGTGCTACAGATTTCGAGACCATCACTGTTGTATCTTTGAGACGATACATCTCATCCGTCAGCACTACACAAGCCACATACTAATTAAAAAGCACGATAAACATGTAAAACGACCAATAATACTCTACTAGAAAATATTTAACTTTCTAGAAAAATAGTATATATCTAATTAGAAATTGAAGACATTTTATTATATCTTCAAATGTCAATATACGAATACTTAATCAATAATATTTTGTCCTACTTTCTTAATTATTTCTTGAAAAATTTATGTTATTAGGGTCGAAGATTCATTTGTTCATACTTAGAGCCCGAAGATTCATTTGTCCATACTTAGAGCCCCTATCTTAGGGGTGGCTTACGTTAATGATTGGTGTCTCCTAAAATAAATGTTTGAAACTATCACTTGGTAGGTAAATATATGGAGCCCACATTGAATTTTGTTGATTACTCATATTTAGAGCTGCAAACCAGTCAAATCGATTCGAGTATTGGCCTTATTAAATAGGATTGATTTTTTTTTTTTTTTGAGTTGCTCGAGCTCGAGCTCGAGCTCGATTCAATAAAAAAAATACAATAGCTCGAGTTCGACTCGAATTCAAAATGCTCGAGTTCGGTTCGAAAATTTTCAAGCAATTTTGTAAAATTACCATTAAGTACATATATTAATATTATGTTACATATATGTACAAGGGTATTTTAGTAACTTAACATAATCTCGAGCTGCTCGACAAGACAAAATTTGGGCTCGAGCTCGACTCGTGTTCGTGCTCGAGCCACTCGAGCCGAGCTTTGACTCGAGCGCTCGCGAGCCAGCTAGGTTCGTGTGCAGCCCTAGTTGTGTAACTATATGGAGATAGGAAGGATGGAGGAGAAGTGGCTGAAGATGGGATATAGTGTGTCTCAAGATGGGGAGAATTAAGATGCTACATCTATCTCCTCTTACATTTGGATTGAGCTGGATGCTGACGCTATCGCCACCCTCTTGATCTCGGGCTATCAGGGCTCATGGCAGATACAATACCCACTCATGCATATGTTGGGTTTTCGACGTACGAATCAATCGCACGCACAACGGAATTTTAAAATTTTCTTACCAATGAAGATCCGGCTATAGCTATTCGATATGATCCTAGATCGCGTGAATGATACACAAAAACTTACAATTATTCGTCTTTTGTCCTCGACTATGGTATCCACGCAATCTAGTTTTCCGGTGCACGATCTAACGCTAATGAATCCCTTCCGGTGAAGAAGCTAGGAATTCTCGATTCAGAAAGCTAGAGAGTGTTTTATTTTACGATGTGTTTCTCATCTTCTCTCATCTAATGATTCGATCTAATCGATTAAGATTACGAATGAGATAATGAGATATTTATAATTAGGTCAAACCTAATCATATCCCTATAGCCCAATAGGTAATTGGACCTAATCCAATTAATAATTAAGTATAATTCCAATTTAACTTAATTAATTATTTTTTAATTAATAATTTAATTAAGTGTAAATCTAATTTAACTTAATTAATATTTTCCATCAAATAGAAAATAATCTCATTACTCAAAAATAAATATTTCAATCCAATTGAATATTTAACACTCTCGATTCACTCTTAGCCGGAAAACTGATTGCATATTGTGTGACCCTATAGGCCTTCATATATTGACATAAATCTAATTTATGATCCTTACGAAACTCCTAGACTGCGTCGAAGGACGAACTCAAAATATGAAGTACGTTTACATGGACAAACAAACAAACCTTTCGTGTAGAACTCAATAGTGATACGGTCCCTTCATTCACGAACCACTCGATTAAGCATCGGATTTGAATGTGTGTCTATCCAATCAGCTTAATCATTTTATCTCATCTCACTGGTTGATTTTATCAATTATATTTGAATACTATTTCAAATATAATCACGTTGTTGATATCCGACTTGATTGCAAGATTAAAGATGAAGATTAATCACAGTNAAAGTGTGAGATCTTTATCTTATATGTTTTCATTTGATACAGAAATGACTTCTTTGGAATGTCTGCTGCATTTGGATTTAATCTCTTAGTATGCACTTTCTTAGTGTAATTCAATTGATAATGTCTCTCTGAACTTGTTCCCCCATGTTATATTCTTAACTTATTGGTTATTGATTACTTCGTGAGAATGCTATTCAATTTGTTCAGGAAAATGTGAAGACTAAACATCCCCAGTTGCTGTACGAGTCGAAGCTGTACAAATTACTTCAAGGAGGAAGTAATAATCCCTTCGTCCGTTGTTTATCCGGGCTTTATTACATTTTTTTTTTGGTGTTCTCACTGTTTCACTATTTTTAAAACTCTGGCAGCTGGAATTCCAAATGTTCGATGGTTTGGTGTTGAAGGAGACTACAATGTCCTTGTGATGGATTTGTTGGGACCAAGTCTTGAGGACTTGTTTAACTTCTGTAGTCGTAAGCTGTCTCTGAAGACTGTTCTCATGCTTGCGGATCAGATGGTATATCGAATTTGTTTGTTAATGTTAAGTTAACCTTTAGACAATTTCATGTTTCGTTATGCTCTGAGAGTGTGTGTGCATGTGTGTGTGTGTGTTTGTAGATAAATCGGGTTGAGTTTATCCACTCTAAGTCATTCCTCCATCGAGATATCAAGCCTGACAATTTTCTCATGGGTTTGGGGAGGCGTGCAAATCAGGTAAATCTTTCTTTTCTTTGGAGCTTGCTCACTTTTTCATTTAATTTTTGGAAATTTATTTGCAACAATAACTCTTCAAGTTATCTGTAGGTGTATGCCATAGATTTCGGACTTGCCAAGAAATATAGAGACTCCTCAACACATCAGCATATCCCATATAGGTAAAGTTGTCTCTGGCATATATTTAGGAATTCAATAGAATGTAGTTATTTGAGCTTTTTCTGGTGCTTTTAAATGCAGAGAAAACAAGAATTTGACCGGGACAGCCAGATATGCTAGCATGAATACGCATCTTGGCATTGGTATGCACATATCATGGTATACCTTTTCACCCTTTCGACCTTTCGAGATATTATCTAATTATCTGTTGGTTTCGTGTTTGGTTCTATTTCTTGGTATGGATGAATTACAGAACAAAGTCGAAGGGATGATCTGGAATCACTTGGATATGTTCTCATGTATTTCTTAAGAGGAAGGTGTGCGCGCGAATGGAAACTCTTTTATTTTTATTATCTTTATTTATTTTTGTTTTTTCATAGCGTCTTCTACTCATGTCTACCAACTATGCAGCCTTCCCTGGCAAGGACTGAAGGCTGGTAACAAGAAACAGAAATATGAGAAAATTAGCGAGAAAAAAGTTTCAACGTCAATAGAGGTAATTATTGAAAATTCTGTTCTGTTAAATCCCGGTGTATTTCCTGTTATGCTAGATTCAATCTGAAATTGGATATCTTGACAGGCTTTATGTCGTAGTTATCCCTCTGAGTTCGCCTCTTACTTTCACTACTGTCGATCACTTAGATTCGATGATAAACCGGATTATGCCTACTTGAAGAGAATATTCCGTGACCTTTTTATTCGCGAAGGTTCTTTTTATGAACTTCCTTAACATTCCATTGTTTATGCTTTTTCTATAATCGCCCATCATCCTATTATACGCAATTTAAGCCTGATTCTCCATTCATTCTAACTTGGTAGGTTTTCAATTCGACTACGTATTCGATTGGACTATCCTGAAATATCAACAATCGCAACTTGCCAATCCTCCTTCTCGTGCCCTTGTAAGTAAATTGGATTTTTAGTCTTACTTAGAGGTGGTGAAATGAAGCCTGGCCTGCCCAGGCATGGGTTCTAACCGAGCCCATATCTGTAGGCCCAAAAACTTTGGGCCTTTATACCATCCTGATTGCCGGTCAGACCCAAAGTAATTTGCAGAGAAAATTTGTTCAAGCTATATGGCTTTCAGGATGTGATCTAATAATGACTTTTGTTAACAGGGTACTGCTGCTGGAACTAGTTCGGGAATGCCACATGCCAATAATACCGATAAACAATCAGGTGACTTTCATTTATTTGAGTCATATATTGGGTCATTGCTAAATATGAACGGTCACATATCTTATTTTGGAGCCAATTAATTTTGTGATTGTACTTTATATCGTGTGCTGAGACTGTTCATGGTACAACTGTGTTAATGCAGGTGGTGATGATGGCAAAGGCTTGGGTTGGTCTGCAAGTGCAAACCGTGGAAGAAACTTCTTGAATTCAGGCAATTTGTCCAGACAGAAAGGCCCAGCTGTCAATGATGCTTCTGTGTCTAAAGAAGTAAGGCTAAAAGTTAACACCTCTTTTTACTACCTCAAAGAAAAAAAAATAAAAAATTCTTACATTTATATTTCCACACCACATAATCTAAATGGGTTTTTTTCCACAGCTGTCAAGTTCTAACATTTTCCGGCAAATTGGGTCATCGAGGAGGCCAGCTATCAGTCGAGATGCCGAACTTCCCTCGAGTGATGTTGACCCTTCTCGAGCTCGTGCAACTGAATCACTCCGAAGAAACCCTAGCGCTGCACAAAGAAGTTCGCCAGTTGTATCATCGGATCATAAACGTTCAGCCTCAACTAGAAACCTCCCAAATGTAAGAAATTTCGACTCGACCTTAAAGGGTATGGAGAATCTAAACTTTGGCAATAATGATGAAAGGATGCACAATTAGTATCTTTTGCCTACTTCTGTAAATATTGGTAAGCTAAGCTGCTCAAGGAAAACAAAACCAGAATCACTTAACGTGCAGGGCGCGTAATTAGGTGAGGGATTTATTGAAAATTTGATATGGTGAAGGTGAGATTTTATTTAATTGTATGAGCCGTTTTACGTTGACTTGGAGTGTAGTATTACTTGTACGGCTTGAGATTAATGGTCTACTATTTACATACTGCACATTCCTTTGATATGCCAATACATTGAATTGTTGCAATAAAAAGTTAATCTGGGTGCTTACATATTTTCTTACATGTTTATATTTATGTGTGTGAGCGTGTGAGTTTGGTACATTGTTTTACTTAAACGTTGCGATAGTTACAGATCTGATGTTTGTTGTGCTTTGAGTTAATTTATGCGGGACATACCCAATTGAATAGAAGACTTGGAAATTTTTCAGTGGTACTCTCAGTTGTTTTACTGGCAAGCATATTCTAAACTAGCTCTACTGAAGGATTAAGGTTGTTATGTTTTTAATCTTGGTATACTTCCAAATTCTGTTAATTTGCCTTGTACTCGTAATTACCAAAAAATTTGTTGGGGTTTTTTTGTTGAGTTCACTTAATCTAGTACTCTAATGTCTGTCAAGAATTTCAACACAAGTTTTGGGATCTAAAAAATGCCTAAGAGATATAGGAATAGTTGCAGTTTTGGATTTTTTTTTTCCCCTTTTGGGTTGTTTTGCTTGGGTTCTTCATCTTCTTCCCTTTTCTTTTTTTTTTCAAAAGAAAAAATTAAAATAAAATAATCGTATACACACCCTTGGGCTTGATATGCAGTTTTCCCTCAAATTTAAATAAATAATTAAATAAATAAAATTAATCGAAAAATTGGTTTAGGTAAATTAAATTAGACAACCCAAAATGCAACATGCTGGACAAAAAGAGAAATGGTAGAGAGTATCAAATTCAATGGGCTGCCATCTCTTTTTCTATGTTTCGGTGAATATTTTTGCCTTTTCTTCATCATGGCCGTACTCTGACTTCTTTTCCATGGCAGTTAGACATGGCCACCGGGTCAACCGGCCCGCCGACCCGGCCCGGACCTGGTTCGGTCAAACCCTTTGACCGCGTGTCCAAACCCGGCTCGGATTTCAAGCGGGCCGGTCCAGGGCCTTCTTTTTGTCGACACCGACCCGGCGGGACGGGCCGGGTCCGGGCCAGGTCCAATTCGACGTGGGAAAAATGAACTGTTTTTGAATTTTTCTTTACCGGGTCAGACCCGGGTCGGGTCCGGCACGGATTTAGGGCGTGCCGGTTCAGGGTCGAAGTAACCCAACCCTTAAGCCCGCCGGGCCGGTCCGGGCCCGCCATTTGGCCATGTCTAATGTCAGTTGTGCCATTTTGTTGGCTTTAAAACCAAAATTTAAGTTTGGTTTGCATAGTAATAAATTATACAGCTCTTGTTGTAGATTTGTAGTTGCACTTAGTTATTACAAAGGAGCAGCAAATCAAATCAGTCAAAGGTATCTCGAGTTATTCTGTGTCATGGATGGGTTAGGTTTTGGCCCTGCACATGACTTTTCATGCATTACAACTGGAATGTACCATGCTCCTTAATCGATTAATGGATTGATCAATATATCAATGAATTCTTAATTAAAAACGAGCCTTTTTGGTAATTTTTAAGTTGAGTAGTATAGTTTGGAATTAAACGGATTACATACTCCTGAAAGGTTCTTTNAAAAAAAGAAAAAAAAAACAAACACTCTGGAAATTAAAGAATAACGTTGTACATAGTTTTTAAGAAAACACAATCTGTTGCCCAATTTTTGTGATATTATCAATACAGACAGTCACCTTATATGCTAAAACTGAGAGTAAGCACTTTTTAGGCAAACAATCTTTCCTGTTCTTTTATATATTAGTTATAGTTATTATTTCAACAGTAACATAATAACAATCTTTCCTGTCTTATATATTAGTTATTTCAACAGTAACATGGCACAAGCGACAAAAAATTGAGAACACATAATATTTCTTTTATTAGCTGAGCCGAAAAAAAAATTAAAAAATAAAAACTAAAAAAATTCAACTCCCACATTGTCTATAAATGCGTACTAAATTAATGTCAGCGATATTAAAACTTAAAATAACACAACTTGTGCCATTCAATATTAAAGGGCCATTCAATAACTCTAAAGATAAAAATTAATTTCCTTTCAGGTTTCATCAGCTATAAGATTAAGAAGGTACAGAACAAAAATTAACTTTGAATTCCTAGGAAAATTAACTATGATAAAAAAAAAAGGAAAAAAAAAAGAACAAACTCATGAACCATTCATGCAATCTTTTCAAAAATAATAACTTTGATTTTTCAGAATCTTGATCCAGTGTGGTATATACTCTCAATGCTAAAGCCAAGTGAAAAAAAATTGCAATTGTCTGAAAAATAAATGCCTTTTTTCTTTTACACCATACACACTCTTACATGGAGAAAAAGAGAGGAAAAACAAGAGGAGAAAGGGAAATTCATTTCATGAAAGTTACCAAATTATCATCAACATATAATATACTTCACAGTACAATTGTTTTTCTCCAAGATTTTCATCAAATTTTACCATCATACAATAAATACCTTCAAAGAGCAGAAAAACCGTAAAAACTAATATAGAAGAGAGAGAGAGAGAGAGAAAGAATTAATTAAAATCACCAAAGTCCATGAACAATATTCTTCATCCACCTGAAGCTTTTTCTGAGTGAACTCTTCATTTTGCCCTCAACGGCATAGGCTTTGTAGCTAGCAACCCTTTTCTTCCTCTGCAATTCAGGGTCCATACTGAAATTCCAATTCTTTGCTGAAGAAGATGATGAGATTTTGCTGCTCTTACTACAATTATTGCCTTTCTTGATTTTCATGTCTTTAAAATCGCCGCTTGGGAATTCTCGATTTTGATTGGGATTGTACCCTGAAGTACTACTGTAGCTCCTCAGATCCTGCATGCTGCTCGGATACACGCCTGGGTTATCCATCGTTGATTTCGATCTTGAAAATTTCTCCATTTTTTTATGGTATTATTGTGTGAATTTTGATTTTTTTTGGAGATTTTTGTGTGGGACTGAGTTTGGAGCTAATAAAAAGGTTTCAGCTTTTTTCTTTGTGGGCTTTCTTTGTTTCTTCACTTTAATGGGGCAGCTGAAGATGAGTAGGGCTTTTTATTGATCCAAAGTACTTTTAATTTATTTACTTACTTAATAAAGTATTTTGTTTATTTAAATAGCATATTCTCACCCTCCAACAACTCGAGTAATAATTTACTTAACAATCATTTCCGTCGTTCAGTGAAAATAGAATGATAGCTTGATATTTGTTTAGAATGTGCTTGGATACAAATATATATGATCAAAATGAATTTTTTATTAAAATATTATATTGTTAGTTGTTAGTGAAATTTTCAATTTATATTGAAATTAAAATTAAATTATTAAAATTATTTTGATGTAAAAATAAGAGATAGATGATGTGAAATAATGGTTAGTTAAAATTTCGTGAGTGAACAAATTGTGAATTAAAGTTGATATGATGTGTAAGAATGATTAATTGATATTACTTAATTATATTAATAATATTGAGGATAGTGGAATTGAATTATAGTTGAGTTACATTTTGAGTATGAATTGAAAAAAAAAATTATAAAAAAAAAATCACACCCTTAATAATTCGCATAATATATGCTAGAGTTTGATAATTTAAACTTTCATATACTTCCCCATGATTGCTATTTTTTTTTTCTTGTACATTTTCCAGATTTTTTTTCCAACTATAGAAGAACTCATTAATGGAAAAAAAAAATACAATGTTCGAATACAACTCGAGTTTAAAACTCCAATCCTAGTCGAGATGAGATGAGAGAACGATCCATAAGTGTATGGCCTAAAACACACCCAACAATCAGATATTTGGAAGTAGTACATGATAACTGAATCATTCAACTACTTACGCAGCACAGAAAGACCACATAGCACAAAAAGATACAACTAACCACTGACACAAGACCTAGCTAGAAGCACTCTTATGCTCGAACAAGACTTCCTCCTTGGCCTTCCTTGAACTCCAACCAATCCTGCACAACTTCTTTACTGATTAGATGTTCAGGCTTCCAAACATTTTAAAATACCCACATGTTTCGAGCTTCCCACAGCCACCAAAGTATGTAAGCGGTCGGTTGAATATTACCTTAAAAAATGTCTTTATGACCCATTTTGTTTACCCACCACCACCATTCCTTGAAGTCGTAGTGTCTGCTTGTGTGTCATTCCAATTAGCCGGTGTTAACTTCCAGACCTTCCTAGCTATGGTGCATTTGAAAAAAATAATGTTCAACTGTCTCTTTTTGTTCACCACAGCCTATCACTGTCTCTGTAAATCACATCAACTTCCACACCTTTCTTTTAAGCATTCCAACTCACATGAAGTACTCCACAAAAACTTCTCCAAATTAAATGTTTTATTTTGCCTTCGATTCTCATTTCCCAACATCTTTGCCTGGCTATTTTGTTCCTTTTATGCAGAGTCACTGCCTTCGTCGAAGAAGCTATAGAAAATTTGCATTGTGTGTCAAAGTTCCATCTCCATGTACCCTCCATCTCAGGGTTCAGTGAATGAATCCTTAATATACTATCACAATCAACAACATAGAACTGTTCTCTCATTGACCTCCCATTCCTGATCGTGCCATCATTATTCATCAAGTCTTTCACCTTTATAGTGTTTTCATTCAACTCAACTCTGACCTATAGTTTGCCATTTCTCAAATTTGGAATCCAATTGTAATCCATGATTTTTGTTGTGGCTCCATTTCTCACCTCAATACTCAGCCTTTGTTTAAGCTGAGGTAACATTGCCATCCAACAATTCCACATCCAAGAGGAGTTTTGATTCCTATGGCACTCAAAAATAGAGGTTGTAGGGAAATGCATGCTCTTCAATACTCTGTTGATCAAGAGTTTTGGTTTGGTTATGATCCTCCACAGTTGCTTCAATATGAGTGCCCGGTTGAACAATTTGATATCCTGAAAGCCAAGACCACCCACCTCCTTGCTAGAGCTAGGGATCCCAAGCTTTTCAGTGGATACCTTTTCTTTGATCCTCTCCATTGCTCTACGAGAAATAGGCACACAATCTTGCAATGTCCTCACACAAGCCCAAAAGACTTTGAAAACAAGACATACCAAAGACTGGTAATGCATTGAGCACAACTTTTATCAACACCTCTTTCCCTGCTGTAGAAAGAAATTTGTTCTTCCAGCTTGTGATTCTAGATCTCACAACTTCAACTATGTAGCCAAAGGTTTCTTTTTTTAGACTTCTCAATCCTTGGAGGCAATCCTAGGTATCTTGAGGATCTACGCACTTGAATGCCCTCTAGAATGCTGCACAGACTCCCTTGCAAAATTTCTGGAGTATTTTTACTAGAGAAATGGAAGATTAACTTTACTTTTTGCCTAGTAAAGAGTTTATAATGGCCTAGAATTTGAAGTATCACATGAGCATGATTTTCATCAGCTTTACCAAATAGTAGAGAGTCATCAACAAAAAGTAGATGGGTAAAAGTAGGTCCTTCTCTAGACAACTTAAGCCCTTTAAGAGTAATTCGGTTCATTAAAGCCCAAAATCGGCTCGTGAAAGCTCGAACTGAGCTCGTTATTAATGATAAACAAACTGAGCTCGAGCTCAATTTCAAGATCATTTATTTAACGAGTCGAGTTCGACTCGACTCGTTGAGGGAGTACCCTAAGCTCAAACTCGGGTCGGCTCGTTTAAATGCATAAAAGGTGATGAAAATGAAATTTTCATTTGCGTTTGGCTGCGTATTGAAGCAAAAATACTCAGATTTTTGGGATTGGAGTTGCTCAAAATGTGACAATTATGAGCAAACAGCTATGACTATGCTGAAGTGACAGCTAATTAATAAAGAAAGGAAAAGGAGGGACAGTGCGAGTGATTTAAGTTTATTTAATATTCAAATTTATCAGTCCGGATCGTTGACCTGATCTAACTTGGTGAAACTATTGACTGCATTTTTTTCCATTTTTTTTATTTTTCTTTTGTATATTTTGCTATAAGCAACTAAACAAGTGC